CGGGGACGACTCGACGGCAAACAACAACAACAATATTCTATTAGACAACTTATTCTCTCTTCTCTTGTTTCTAGTCTTACTACTGTCACCAAGACTGTAGTGGGTGACCTTGACCGTTTGACAGTTTGTACATGTTGAAACTGACAGAGACTGTTGTGAATGGCCACAGTCTGTCCTAGGATGGAAACCCCTCACTGGGGCTTTCCTGTCCCAAAGCCTCAGCAGTTGAAGCAACAGCCCAGCCAGCCCCACTCTCCTGGGAATGGCTGTGGAGAGGGGTCAGGTGGGCCCTTGGAGGAGATCACAGCAGAGCTTTGGGGAGGGAGCTGGCAAACCTCGGCTTTCTGCACGCCACCAGTGTCTCCCCCAACACTTAGTCTCCAACACTCGAGACCGCTGGCTTAGTCTCCTAGGGCTGCTGTCACAAAATGCTGCAGGGGGGTGGCTCTAAAGACCGGAAATACTGTTCTGGAGGCTAGAGGTCTGAGTCAGAGTGTTGGCCATGCCTTTGGTGGGCCCCTCTCCTAGTGGCTGGGGTCTGCCAGCAGTCCCTGGGATTTTTTTTTTTCCACCTGTAGGCGGCCCTGTCATGACATTTCTGCCCTCTGTGTGTCTGTGTCTGCTCTGCTCTTTTTAGAAGACCCCACTCAAGGGCATTAGCTTTATGACTCACCCTGCTTGGTGTCCTCCCATTAACTTACCAGAGAAAGGCCTTGTTTCCAAACAGGGTCCTATTGACAGGTGCAGGGCTTGGACTTCCATATTTCTTTCTGGGGAACACATTTAATTTGTGCCGGCCGCCATGCTCCTGTGTCAGCTTGCCCCTCTGCAACCTTCCCTGGGGAGCTGAGTCCCCATTCTCCCTCTGCCCCAGCTATGCTTCTCGTTACTGCCATCATTTTGTTTATATGCCCTGTCTCCCCAGCTACCCATCTGCTTTGATTCTCCTGCCTGTTGTTTCTCAGGACCCTTCCGGGGCCCCCCACATCAGCTGGTGCATCCAGTAAGTGCCTGTCTGTCAGGCTGCCTGCCCATGCCCATTGGCTGGTGGAGTCCTTGGCTGCCAGCTCCTGCTTTCCTTGCAATGCTGTGCTGTTGGTCACTGGGAGCAGGGAATGGGCTCCTGGAGATGGAGTGGGCGCTGCTGCCTTCCTCATCCTCATCCCTCGGATGACAGCCTCGGTTAGTGCTTCTTGGCCTAGGTCAGTGGTTCTCGGCCTAGGTCAGTGGTTCTCAGCACGACAGCCCGCTCCTGAGATATCTAGCCCCATCAATTCCTCGGGAGCTCCAGGGTGGGCTGAGGCACTGGTATTTGCAGACAGCTCCGTGGTGGTGGTGATGTATGGCCAGGTGAGAGCGACTGATTGAAATCATGTTTCCCAGCTGCTGCAGTTGGTGGAGAGGAGCAGAGGACATGGAGGGGACTGAGCCCTTGGTTGGGTCACCCTGCCTGGGTGACATGTAACAGATGCATAGCACCCAGCAGGACAGAGCACATGATGGGCCAGTGCCGGGATCACACACAACGTGTGTGTGTGTGAGTGTGACTTGTATGTATGTGAGTGTGCATGTAAATGTCTGTATGCAACTGTGTGTGACTATGTGTGAGTCTGTGTGTGGGAGCGTTTGTGTGAGTGTGTATGTGTGTGTGAATGTGACTGAGTGTGTGTGTGTGTGTATTTATGTTAGTGAGTGTATAAGTGCATATATGTGTGTCTGTGAGTATTTGAGATTTGAGTGTGAGTGTATATGAGTGTCTGAATGTGTGAATGTGAGTGTGTATGTGAATGTGGGAGAGTGTCTGTGAACGTCTGTGTTTGTGTGAGTGTTTATGTGAGTGTGTGTGAGTGAGAGTGCCTGTGCATATGCACACACAGAGGAGAGGAGAGCCACAGTTAGGGAGGGTGGAAAGGCTGAGGAGCCATGACCCCATGTATGGTCTATGCAGGGGAGAAGCCCAGGGGCACTGGAGTGACTCCATGGTGCCCAGCAAGGCCTGGCTAGGAAGGCCTCGGCTGGCAGGACATAGAAGGTGTGGTGGCTCGTGGGCTGGGAGCAGCGGGCAGGGCAGGCAGGGCAGGGTCACAGGCGTGCCAGGGGTGGAAGAATGGGGTTTCTGTACTGCTTATCGGGACAGTGGCTCGCAGACAGGATGTGGAGGAGGCTCCCAGAGCCCGCCTGCTATAGTCAGTCCCACGTCATGGGGGCCCCACCTCTGACTTGCTGTGGGACCTCAGCCTGGCGGCTTTGTGGTTAGCCAAAACCAAACCAAACCCACTGCCATCAAGTCAATTCTGACTCATAGCGACCCTATAGGACAGAGGAGAACTGCCCCACAGGATTTCCAAGGCTGTACATCTTTATGAAAGCAGACTGCTTCATCTTTCTCTCACCCACAGAGCAGCTGGTGGATTTGAACCACTGACCTTTTGGTTAGCAGCCAAATGCTTTCACCATTACACTACCAGAACTCTTTGCTTCATGGTTAGGCCTGGGTAAGTCACGCACCATTCTGTGAACTCCACTATAGGAGGCAGGAGATGGTGTGAACAGTGAGGCAGCCCCAACATGCTCTCTCCACATCAAAGGATGCCATGATCACGTCAGACCCCTTGACCTTCCATATTGGCAAGAAACGTTGGACTCAGGGCCTTGCATAAGGTCAAGAAAGTGGGGTTATATTCACACACACACACACACACACCGTCTGTGGGACAGGGAGAGGGAAGGCTGAGAAGAGTTGCAATAAAAGGGCCGAGCTATGAGATCTGGCAAGAAGGCAAGGGCAGAGGCTACTGAAACACTGGATTTGTCCTTACCCTTTGTTTCTTTAGCAGAAATAGATTTGAAATGGCCCTGCCCCTTGAGTAGGAGCTGAAGGTCCGCATGGCTAGGGAACTCTTATCAAAGCTTCTAGAACAAGCTGGCTGGAGCATGCTTGTCCTATGGATTGAGCAGAGACCATGGATGTGTTTGTTCCAAATAGGCTTTGGGTTCCTATCCCCAGGGCCCAGGAGGCAAGAAATGAGGACCCTAACCTAACCCTAGGAGCACTCACCACCCTCCATGGCAGTAACAGAAGAGTTTGTCTTTGAGCCTTTTAAAGTAGAAAGGCAACTCTTGACCCTTCTCCTCTGCCCTACAGACTGGCTGAAGAGTGATAGTTAGGGACCCAGGAAAGGAGGGAAGGCCAGATGGCCCACGAGCAACCACCACCACACAGACGTGCATGTTGCAGAGAGCAGAGGAACAGAATAGCAGCTGTTTTCTAAAGCCCTCTAGCCAGGTTTCTCTTTGAGCCTGTCTGCTTTCTCCATGGAAGTCCCTGGGTGGTGCCAACAGTCAAGCGCTCACTGTGAGCTGAAAGATTGGCGGCTCAAGTCTGCAGAGAAGAGCCTGGGAATCTTCCAGAAACACAGCCACCGAAATCCCTGTGGAGCACAGTTCTGCTCTGACACACAGGGCCACCGTGAGTCACAGTCAGCTCCATGGCAGCTGGTTACATTTCTCCAGACCCTTATTGGCCCCTATCAGGCCACCATAGAGCAGGGCTCATTGGAGAATATAGGTAAAGCACAGTTGACACTTTGCCCAGTAGACTTACAAAGTAGGGGCCCTTCTGAAAAAACAGTAAGATCCACCAACTGCCAAGGGCAAAAATCTAAGTGTCCCAGAGGTAACCATGTAACAGAATGAAACATTGCCAGTCGTGCTCCATCTTTGTTGGTGTATTTGAATCCATTGTTGTAGTCGCTGTGTTTTATAAAGTCACACTGAAGCACTCCAGCAGAAATACAGAATTAGGTTCCTTCAAGCCTCTGACCACATGCCCATCAACCTATCAATATATATGCCTTATATGTGTTTCTGTTTAAAGAGACCTTATTTAATACAATTAATAAAGAAGACCAAGGAAGAATCGATGCCTTTGCATTGTGGTGTTGGTGAAGAATATTGAACATAGCATGCACTGCCAGAAGAATGAACAAACCTGTCTTAGAAGAAGTATGGCCAGAATGCTCCTTAGAAGCAAAGATGGCCAGACTTCCTCTCATGTACTTTGGAAATGTTACCTGGAGGCGTCAGTCCCCAGAGGACATCATGCTTGGTAGAGTAGAAGCTCATTGAAAAGGAGATGGGTTGGCACAGTGGCTGCAGTGATGGGCTCAAACATAGCAATGACTGTGAGGATGGCCCAGGACTGGGCAGTGTTTCATTCTGTTGTAGATTTAGGGTCACTCTGAGCGGGAAGCAACCAGAAGGTACCTAACAACACTCAATATGTAATGTTCATTCATTAACATTGAATTCATGGCCAGCAGCCCTGTAACCCCTGTCTGTATGGAGCTTATATAACACACTTCTTTCCTCCACAGGCACATCAAGCTTCTTGCACTGAGGAACACTGCACAGCACATAGCACTATGCTTGGGGGCCATTTGAAACAGCAAAATCACCCATCAAAAGCACAAGAATGCAAAAAGTGTGGCAGTAAATAGACCACCAGAAGGACCCTTGTTTGCAGGAACGAGAAGGCACCGTTGTTCAGCCTCAGCTGGGGACATGCACACTGGGCAATTCAAGCTTTTGGCTACTGTGGGTGCGTCCACAGATGGTTGCACAAGTGTCTCAAGTCTTGATTGGGGTTATAAATAAATTTTAGGCAGTAGACAAGTTTGCAAATCCAGAATCCTTGAATAGCAAACATCACGTGTAATTTGCACCAAGTCGTACAACTGTGTGGTTGTACAACTCAGGTTGTCCTAAGCCACTACCCCACATGTTCTCTGCTGTACCGTGGCATGCCCAGGGCACCAGCGATAGGCTGAAGCGGTAGAAGAGCTGTCACCTCCTGGCCAGCGACACGTCTTTCCCTTTCCTCCTTCCTCCATGCATCACAACCCTCCTCCTGGAATTTTAACCCTGGAGGGTGCTTGTGGCCTTGTCTGTGTGGACATACTGCCTGACCACAGCCTTCATGTGCCCTCTTGGTCTTTCAGGAATTTAGCCATTGGAATTGGTATCCAGAACTTCCCAGAGGGCCTCGCCGTCAGCCTGCCCTTGCGAGGGGCTGGCCTCTCCACCTGGAGAGCTTTCTGGTAAGTGCTTGAGAGCGTGGGCTGTCAGAAGGCAAGGTCATGTCTATGCCAAGTGCTGAGAGCAGTCCTGTGGGCTGGCTTTCTTCTTCAAGAACAGCCCCCTCTGCCTTGGGAGCATGTCTGGAGCTTCTGGTGAAACACTGGTAACTGGAGTGAGTCATGCACCTTGAGCTCCTGACCTTCCCCTTTCCGTGTTGTTAGTTGCCGTCAAGTTGGCTCCATTTCCATCCCTGTGTGCGACAGAGCAAATGTCGCCCAGTCCTGCGCCATGCTGAGGATGGTCGATAGTCTCCGCTCCGTTGCTGTGGCCACTGTGTGTTTTGAGTGCCTTCCCACCCAGGGGCTCCCCTTCCAGCACTGTACTGCACAGCGTTCTGTTGTGATCCATACGGTTTTCCTGGGCTAATTTTTGGAAGAAGATCACCAGGCCTTTCTTCCTAGTCTGTCTTGGTCTGGAAGCTCCCCTGAAACCTGTCCACTATGGGTGACCCTGCTGGTATTTGAAATACCTGTGGCACAGCTTCCAGTAACATAGTAACACACAAGCCACGACATTATAACAAACTCACAGGTGGGTGGTGACACCATTTACATAAACCAAGCTAGATGAAGCGTGTGCTAACTCAGAACCCAAGGACAGCCATGCTTTGTCCATTCAGAGTTAGGTTCTCTCCCTCTTGGGTAAGGAGAACCTAGGTAGATGTTCCCATGTCTAATCTACATCTCAAGGGCCTTAACTTAGGCTCCTGTCACCACAGTCTGCCCCTGAGAGCCATGCCCTTTGTTGTTGTTGTGTGCTGCTTAGTCGGTTCTGACTCGTAGTGACCCTAGATGACAGCGTAGAACAGTCCCATAGGGTTTCCTGTGATCTTCACAGGAAAAAATCGTCAGGTCTTTTTTCCCATGGAGCCACTGGTTGGTTCAAACCACTGATCTTTTGGTTAACAACCAAATGTTTAACATTGCACCACAGAGCTCCTCCACACCCTTATAGCTTCTGTCTTCTCTCCCTCCACACTGCAGCCCAGGACTATGTCAGTAACACCTAGGCAACAATGACTATTGCAGTCACACCAGCGTTTTCATTTTCCCCAAAGGCCTTTCTGCCTGTTCCTTAGTTTTACCCCCTCAGCATCTCACAAGGCTGGTCCCCATGGTTCAGATGAGGGAACCATGGCTAGGAGTCAGATGACCAGCCTGGGCCACCTGGCTTATTCATGGTGACCCTGAGACTCAGAAAGCTAATCTTCTGCACCTCAGATCAGGACTCGGGGCTTCAGGCACTGCGTCATCAACACGACTGCTGCTCTTGAACCTACAGTCAGCACATGCCAAAGGACTGCCTTTGTTCCACAACACCTGTGACTCACAGGCCCTGCGCAGACTTCAGTTACACATCTCCACCCTCTAGGATTGCAGTCTCCATTTTTGGAGCCTACAGAACAGAGGATTCAGGTGAAGGCACAGCACACTGGCCTGAGAGATTTTTGTAAAATGCGAGTTCCCTGAGCCTGAAAGCCATGACTGTCATTTCACACCAGAGAAGCACCATGGGAGGAGAGGGGACAGGGAGGGAGTGGGACACTTGTGGTTAGTGTCCAGACCCTAGGCTTAAACATTTTATTCTTCTCACCCCAGTACAGACTTGATATTGAACCCACTCTTTCTTGATGTGACAAAGCCAAGGCCAGGAATTGCACAAACCCAAGAGCTACATGTAAGGGTTGGTGGCCCATATTCAAAAGGCACGGAGGCCAGGAAGCAGTGGCTTCCCTAGAGGATTCTGCAGTGACAACCACCTCTCCTCTATGCCACCATCTGTCCCTGGGCCAGAGAGAGGCTGGGAGAGGGTAGAGTGCCCTCATTAACTTCCTGTCATCCGGGAGGCTGGGCAGAAAAGTCATCTCTCATGCCCATTTTACAGACAGGGTGATCAAGGCTCAGAGGCAGTGTATCTCACCAAACACCCTCTGCAAGGGAACAGGGAAAAGTACCCCAGCTCCTCATCCACTGGTGTTGAGCCTGTTGTTGTTTGTTAGCATCCACTGAGTCACCCCTCAGCTCCTGAAGACCCTGTGCCCAATGGAATGGAACACTGCTTGGTCCTGTGCTGTCCCTGTGATCAGTTACCGATCGACGGTTGTGATCCATGGGGTTTTCACTGGCTGAGTTTTGGAAGCGCTCACCAGGCCTTTCCCAGTCTGGAAGCTCCACTGAAACCCAGTCAGGATCATAGGAGCACTCAAGCCTCCACTGACAGAGGGGTGGGGGCTGTGGGTGAGGGGCACTGGCCGGACATTGAACCCAGGTCTCCTGCAAGGAAGGCGAGAATCCTACACTGAACCACCATTGCCTTCTTGTTCAGCCTGCAGCTGCTGTGGGGCTCAGGCAGTGGGGCTCAGGTATTAGCTGATCCAGCTCTCCAAATTCTCAGTGCTCATGGGTGCTGCTGTTTGAATCAAGGCTCATTTCATTTCAAGAGCAGAGACCATCCACACTAGCTCAGATACGGGGATGCATTAAAAGGAGAAATCTCAACCTTCATCCCAGGTGAGGGGCATACCCTCAAAGTACACATGGCCAAGTAGACCCCCCCTGTTCAACAGATGCTGGTGGGTACAAGGGGTGTGGCTGCAGCTTGAATCCCACACATGCTACGCCTATCCGTCCTTGGGAAATGCCCACATCCCTGCTCATCAATGCTCTTCATTCACAGGACAAAGTAGGCATCAGTGGACCAGTGGAAAATCACATGGGGCCTGCCTGTGCAATGGAATATTATTTGGCAATAAAAAGAAATGAAGTTGTGATACATGGTACAACAGGGTTGACCCTCAGAACTGTTAGGCTCAGTGAAAGAAGTCAGTTAATGAGGAACACGTGTTGCATGATCCCATTTCTATCTGTAGAGACAGAAGCTAGATAAGTGGTCACCAGAGCCATGGGAGGGAGGGATGGGGGTGGCTGCTGATGGACACGGGGCTTCCTTTTGGGGTGATGAAAATATCCTGGGATTAGACAGCAGCAACGGCTGTACAGCCTTGTGACTGTATTAAAAACCACAGAATCGTACATGCTAAACGGGCATGTTGTATGGCATGTGAATTATAGCGCAATCATGCTGTTATTTTTGAAATACAGGGAACTTAAAACTCTAACAGAAATGGAGGGGGCTCCTGTAATTGTTGCTGGGGTACTGGGGAAGGAGGAGGAGGGGGTGAGAAAATAAACTATGAAGAATGCATGACGTGGAGTGAAATGAGCTGTTTTCTAGTGTAGTCAGCAGTCCCAGCATGTTGAGTTTCCACTTGGTCTGCCCAGCGAGTGACATCTCCTGCTCTCTAGGTATGGGCAGCTGAGCGGCATGGTGGAGCCTCTGGCCGGCATCTTTGGGGCCTTTGCGGTGGTGCTCGCAGAACCCATCCTGCCCTATGCGCTGGCCTTTGCTGCTGGGGCCATGGTCTATGTGGTCATGGACGACATCATCCCGGAAGCCCAGAGCAGGTAGGAGGGCGCCCCTCCCTCCCCAACCCAGCCCTGGGCCCTCCCCTTTCTTCCTTTCACCCCTTCCCATAACCATATCTGCCCCTCCTCACTGGCCTTCTCCAAAACTAAAAGAAAGAAGGGACTAGTGACAAGGAGACAGTAGCCAGCGGCCCCGCCTGCTCCAGACGGAGTTCCTACAAGGTGCTGTGGCGTCGCTTTGGACTCATGGCCACCCCACGTGTGTCAGAGTGGGACTGTGCTCCATGACATTGTCAGTGGCCGAGTTTTCAGAAGGAGTTTGCCAGGCCTTCCTTCCAAGATGCCTCTGAGTGGACAGGAACCTCCAACCCTTCTGTTAGCAGCCAACATGTTAATCATTTGTACCACCCAGACACTCCCCGATGACTATCATTTTTATATGCTGTCTCTCTTTTTAGAACTTCCTGAGACTGGAGTGAGGGGAGAAGTATGCTTTAAAATGGTGGCCAGCCCTGTTCATGCGTGTTCTCTCTGGCTACATTTAGTTTTTGTTTTCTTCATAACACAAGTGTGGGACTTTATAGCCATGCTCGATGACTTGGGGCAAGTTCCTTACGCCTCAGTTTCCTCCCCAGTAAAGTGCAGATAAGGAGCCTTGGTGGGACACATGGTTAAGCACTCAGCTGCTAACCAAAAGGTCAGTGGTTCAAATTCACCCAGTAGCTCCATTGGAGAAGGACCTGGCCATCTATTCTCATAAAGATTCTGGCCTAGGACACCCTACGGGGCAGTTCTACTCTGTCACACAGGGTCATTGTGAGTCAGAGTCAACTGAGGGCACCTAATAACAATAACAAAAGGAAGGATAATAATGAGACTGCACTCCTGTGGTTGTTGTTTGGATGTGTTAGTGATACTACCTCAGAAACCCAAGGAGGGTCGCTATGAGTCAGCACATAACAACAACAGATTAATCACTTTGCCTGCCCTATAGTCCAACCAAACCCACTGCCACTGAGTCAATTCCAACTCACAGCGATGCTGTAAGACAGAGTAGAACTGCCCCATAGGGTTTCCAATGCTGTCATCTTACAGAAGCAGACTGTCAACATCTCTGTTCCATGGAACAGCTGGTGGGTTTGAACCACTTGGTTTTTGGGTAGCAGCTGCACACTGCACCATGAGGGTCCATTGGAATGTGAGTCAGCCCCAGTAAATGTTAGCTGTCAATGTCGTTACCATTACTAATAGCAGCCTTCTGTTTTCTTTTGGAGTTGCACATCGAGGTCTTACCTTTCCTTCCTCCCCTTCTCTCCTAGTGGTAATGGAAAATTGGCATCGTGGGCCTCCATCCTGGGCTTTGTGGTGATGATGTCCTTGGATGTTGGCCTGGGCTAGTGCTGAGATGCAGCTGTTGGGACAGCAGTGATTGGCTTCCATGGAACCACAGCGTCTTTCTTCACATTAAAACGTTCTTCCTCTCTTCCCTCTTCATCTCATTATCCTGATTGACTCTGACTATAATATGATCTTTTTGCTTTTCTTTTGAGGGAGACTTTGGTTTTATTTGGGATTTCAAGGTGTCTAGAATAACAGGTTTTTGTTTTGGCCACTGCTATGGATTGACTTATGAACCCCCAAAATATGTGTTGTCAATCCTAACCTCTATGTCTGTGGTTCTAATCATACGTGGGGGATGGGCTAACTTTGTTATGTTCATGAGGAAGGGTTACTATAGCATGTATCTTGGCTCAGTCTCTTTTGAGATATAAAAGAGATTAAAAAGGTGAGCAGAGGAGATGGGGTCAGATGGATGCAAGACACATGAAGATCTCCAAGTAACCAGGAAGCAGGAGCTGAAGAGACAAGGATGTTCCTCCAGGGCTGACAGAGAGGAAGACTTCCCCAAGAGCCAGCACTCTGAACATGGCCTGCTAGTCTCCTAAACTGTGAGAAAATTTGTTGGGGGAAGTCAGCCACCTGTGACATGTCACTTATAGCAGCAGCAGAGAACAAAGACAGCCCCTGAATGGACACTTTCTTCAGTGGGATTATCAAGGACACGCAGATCCGGGGAATCTCTGTTTTCGCACCTTCCTTCTCCCTCGCTGGACTCAACAGCAACCCCTCGAAGGCTGCCAACAGGAGCAAGCTACCGAGAGACATCTCCTGCGCTCTTATTGCCTGGCGACTCGGAGTAGAATGGCCAGGATGTCTCTTGTCTCCCTCGTGATCCTTCACTGCTGATCTTGTGCTTTTTTGGACCAGAACTGGAACATCACCGACAGCAAAATACTTGCCAAGGCTCCACCAGTCCAGAAGCAACACACATTCCTCTGCTTCCCCAGAGGGACAAGAGAAAGAGAATGAACTTGGCTACTCTCTCTGTCTCTCTCTTTAAGGCAAAGATTGAAACTGTTGAAGTTAAGGGGATTAGGACAACTAAACACACAGAAGCCCTATGGATACAGAATGGAGTGTAGCAGAGATCACGACCTTGGCTCTCTTTGGGTGGGAAAGTGGATTCCAAGAGCAGCATGATTTGATGTGGTTTCTGAATCCTCTAGTCATCTATTTTAATGAGTTATATAGCCTTAATGTCTTAAGAGGCTTGGGAACACCAGTAAACTGCTCTCACTCAAACCTTTCACTCTGTAATGGAGGAAGCCACTTTAATGAAAGACATTTGGAATCTGCCATGGGTCATTCTCTGTTAATCATCTGGTAGCTTGTAACCTGATCCCAAGCTCTTAAACTGGAGCAGGCTTTGCTGGAGTTTGACCAGAGAGCTTAGGATGAGAAAGGAGGAAAGGGTAGGAAAAGAAGAGATATTTTTACATTTCCCTTTTAAAGTAAGTTTTAGCCAAGTTAACATTCTGAAATGACTCTGAAGAATGGCTTGAACTAGTCTAGAAGCCAACCTGCATTTTCATACACATAGCTAACTGCTTCAAACACAACTAAGTCCAGCCATCTTTATGGGTCAAAGGAGATATGGGACCTCGGGTGGACTCTGCTGAGAGACAAATAGCCAAGAGCCAGGTATCCAGACTTTGTGCTACCAACATCCGCCTTCTGTGTTTACATGCTCACTTTCTTCCAAGGGTGAACCTCCTGCTCTGTACATGTGCTAAGACCCCATGGGCCAACCTTGAACCTGGGCCTATGTATGTTCTTCCAAAGCACTGATGATCAAAATTGAAGACACATTCAGAGCCTTGATTGGTTGAGATTAACTGGCTTGGTGGGTGGTGTGCGTGTGAGTGTATGTGTGCGTTTTATTCGTATGTCTTTGTCTGTAGTTCTACCTAATGCAAATTGTTCTTTTTGATGGACAAGACCTCATAACTGTGATTAATATCAATAAAGGGGATATTGTTGTGAATGACCTGGGCTGTGTTAAGTTCTTCTCAAAGCCACTTCTTTCCAGGGATGATAGCACAAGAGTTACCTATATTTGGTACTAACATCACCCCAACTCAGCATCAGCAGCAGCAGAGGAAAGAGCTCAGATGAGAAGGGCTTTTCAGTTCTCTGTTGCCAACCACAGCATCCAGCTCCCGCTTACTTAAATAGAAAAGGGATTTAATAGAAGATGTAAGGGAGCTCAAAAGATCTATAGGAGAACCAGGCTGGAAAGTGGATTGGATCCAGTGGAGTCCTGGGTCCATGACTGGATCATTCCTCAAGAACATAGCCATAGCCCCTGTGCTCGTCACTAGGCACTACCACCACCACTGAAACCACTGCCCCCGATGTTAGTACCACCAAGAGAAGGAACTCTAAACTGACCTTGAGTCCTTGTACACTGACTGCACATTCAGAGTTCTGGGCAGTGACATGTGGCTGGCAGAGCTTAGGTCCTGTGCCCAGGGACTCGCTTGTCTTGCCCTTTACCAAGACTCACATGGCAGCGGAGATTCTCCAGATGTAGGGAGGAGTTCAGATGCTGGAGATCCGAAAGAGCAAGAATGTTTACCGTGGCCCCATTCTTGCTGCTCAACATGCACATCCGTTCTGCTTCCCCTGCTTACAGTTTTTTTTAAAAGTTTTTGTCAGATAAAGGAGGTAGCCCTTATACAGTCAAAACTGGACTCAGCCCCTTTCCAAAGGGAGCTGCCTCAGTGCTTTGTCAATCCCTACATCCAGGGTCTCCGAGTAAGGTCCACCCCTCTAGTTGAGTCATAATTCCATCTCATTGTTATATGACCGATGGGCTAACGTATAAAGTTAACCATAACCACTCACTGTATAGACAATAAGGAGCCCTGGTGGTGCAGTGATTAATTGCTCGGCTGCTAACTGAAAGGTTGGAGGTTCCACTCCACCAGCTGCTCTGGGAGAAAGATGTGGTAGTCTGTTGCCATAGAACAGAATAAATACAGGGAATGGGAAGAAAAGGCAGCTGGTGAAAATGAGAAATATGTGGTGTTAGTTCCCTGTGATGACTCTGACAGATTGCTACAAGCTTGATGGCTTAAATAATAATTTATTCTCTCACAGGCCCCCAGTTCTTCAAATCCTCCCTCATCTCCCCATTTCGTGTCTCTGCCCCTACCCTTTCCTCATCAACGTTCCAGTTTTCTTTGGAACCAATACAGAAATCCGGCCAGTCCGCAGAATCAAAATTCGCATTGAGTTTTCTGTTTTCTCCACTTTATGGAGGTAAGAAAGAAGGCTTTTAAAGAATTATCACAGAAAGCGTTACGTTTTAATCTGGCCCTTGAACTAGTGAGGTTTTGACTTGCCCATGTCTTTTTCCGGTGACTCAGCCTGTTTAACATGACCATCTCTCACTCTCATATACTAGACCCAGTTTGATGGCAGAAACAACTCATTCCTTCAAATTTTTGCCTTTAATGCACACTTCATTCCAGGTAGCTATGGGCTGATGGGTCAGGGCTGTAGCCAGCGCTGGGCTTTTCTTCATGATTCAGGAAGAGGAAGTAAAGATGCTGAAGGCTTGGGGAGTGGTATGGCAAGGCTATGCTTCTACCTCTTTCCCTCCTACCCTGCCTTCCCTCATTAGCACAGCAGGGCTAAGTACCTCTTTCCCTCCTACCCTGCCTTCCCTCATTAGCACAGCAGGGCTAAGGACGACATCACTTAGGCTTTCGTCAGCTGGATACCTAATTCCAGATTGTTCCCTTTTCTGAAGGATTTGTTAGCTACTTCCAGCTCCAAGAACCAAATTCTAAATCAGTCAGGGTTCTTGGGTGCAGACACCATAAATCAGTGCTGGTTTACTGAAAGATAATGGCATTCGCTGCAAAGACTTTAGAAATCTCACAAAACAGACTGAAATGTGGGAAAAATCAGGATTGGAAAAAAAAAGAAAAAAAGGCAGAAACTTAGCTGGCCAGGATGAAAGCCAAAGTCAAAACACAGGACAGTGTGGCTAGATACCTCTCCCCCTAGATACTGGTCATTCCCAGGGGCACCACCACTGAGTACTGACCCCACAAATGAATCAGTAGTTTTTTTCCTAGGGCTGCTGCAATACAAGTACCACAAGGGTGTGGCTTTAAAGAACCAAATTTGATTGTCCCATAATTCCTGAGGCTAAAAATCCAAATCAAGTTCTCAGCTATGTTGACTCATCCTTGCGGGTAGTCCCAGGCATTTCTTGGTTCCTGGGCTTATAGAAAACCCTCCCATGGCATCTGTCTCCCTATGTGAGTGTGTGCTCATCTGATCTAATCTCTTTTTAACTCAGAGGTGATTAGATTTAGAACCCACCCTATTGGAGTGTGGCCTAATGGCGTAATTGACATAACAAAGAAAACCCTACTTCCAAACAGGATCACATCCAAGTATAAGGGTTAGGATTCCAACATTTATTTTGGGAGGGACACAATTTAGTTTATTACATTAGATTCCATCACCCCTCCCACCAACATGGATTCTCAACTGTCCTCTTGACTTTGCATTACCTGATCCATCCTCAAAATCTTGGGCAGTATATGATTGACAATTTTTAAATTGTGTGCCCGTGTCATGCCTTGCAGAGGACACACAGCTGGCCATTTCTGCTTTCATAGTAGAAAAGGAGGTCCTGCACTACCTTCTACCAAAATCCACATACAGCAGATTCCCCACACATAGGGAAGGGGTTCAAATTGGGGAAAACAAACAAGAATAAATATTGATTGTCTCATAATTCCTGAGGTTACAAGTCCAAATCAAGGTCTCAGCTATGTCGATTCATCCTTGAGGGTAGTCCCAGGCATTTCTTGGTTCCTGGGCTTATCGAAAACCCTACGTGGCATCTGTCTCCCTATGTGAATTTTGCTCATCTGGTCTAATCTGCTCTTTTTAACTCAGGAGGTGGCATATGATCAAGAACCAATGGTATTGAAGGAAGAAGTCAAAGCTGCACTGAGGGAAGTGGTGAAAACTAAGGCTCCAGGAATTGACGGGATACCCATTGAGACGTTTCAACAAACAGATGCCCTACTGGAGACACTCATTCAGCTATGCCAGGAGATTTGGAAGACAACTACCTGGTCAACTGACTGGAAAATATCCATATTTGTACCCATTCCAAAAGTGATCCCACAAAATGTGGAAATTATCGCACGCAAGTAAAATATCACTGAAGATAATTCAAAAATG